TGGAAGTAGATGTATGTCATTTGATGAGATCCGGTGGGCTCTGTCCCTAAACTGCGGTGAAAGTTTCATATGACTGGTAAATTTGCCCATGTGATGAGATCATAAAGAAGAAACAGGGCCTCTGCGAAAGCAGTCCAGACAGTGGGAATTCCTGGATGCCTCTCAGTAGCTGGAGCAGCTAGACAGATGGGTTGGAGCTCATGTGTCTTAGCTTTTCTGTTTCCCAAAATATCCCTTCAAGAATTTGCCAAGTGAGAAGGGTTTGCTTAAGACTAGTTCATGGGTTTGTTTTCTCTCCAGAAACGACCAACATATTAGCACCTTGCGTGAAGCAATTCCTAAAAGCTTGGGGAGGGTTTCACAACTCAGCATTCAGTCATAAACCCTAGATCCTGTAAAATGTCTGCTGTGCCAAAAAAAAAACATAATGGAGAGGCAGTGCTTTTATCTCACTTAGCAGCACTATTATTATTTATACTAAGATAGTCAAGGATTTCTACGTCACTTAGACTAGTAGCTGTAGATCTGACTGCGCTAGAGTCTCAGTCATATGGGTGGAATGCAATATGACTATGCCTGTCTCTTCGTCTGATGTCTATCTTTTGAGGACTTACTTAAGAACCTCTCTCTAGGGTCATCCAAGGAGCAGTTCATGCTGGGACAGCCCACTCAGATTATATAAACTTTACAGGAGGCAGAAGTAACCTGAGCAGACCTTCCTCCATCAAGAAGCAACATGGCTATAGATAAATTTCTCGCTAAAGAGAGAGTCAATTTCTCTACATGTGTCTGCGGGAAAACGTCTTTATCAGTGAGCTTTTCACTGAGTCTGCCAGCAGAGGCCACCATTAGGGATCAGTTGATGGGGCACCTGCTGTTGAGCTTCTGGTGATCTGACTGACAGAATAACAGTTGGAAGGGACTGCAAAGACCATCTAATTCAATCCCCTGCTATGTGGGAATATTCAATTGTACAGCCACAAAGATGGTATCCATCTTGTTTAAAGACTTCCAAAGTTTATTCCACTATCAAATGTCAGAAAGTTATTTCTTATGTCTCTTTCCTTGGAATTTGAATAATTTGGTGTGTGTCCTATTCTTTGAAGTAGCTTGTTCCATCTACATGACTTTTGAGCTTTTGAATATCTCAATTATACTGTTGTCTATGTCACCATTCCTATCCTCAGGAATGACATTAGGAGGTCTTAGAAGAATTTTGGGTTACACAGCTGGGAAAGATCTCTTGAAGAGTCATAGGCAAATTGGAAATTGATCTGATTTCTTATCAGGCACAAGTGAAAATCCTGTACCACTTTGGAATTGACTCTTTTGAATTCTCTCACCACGTGAAATATGATGAATACAGCCTGCAAACAGCCTGCAAATGGATGGTACGTGGTATCCACAATAGGAAAGGCAGTGGACCATAAAAGTATTCCAGATGCGGTTGTAGTATATAGTCAATCCTTCACATTTATGGGTTTGACTTTTATAGATTTAATTATTTGTGGATTTTATTAAAACATTCTCGTTATGAATTTCTAGGTCCTCCAGTGTGACTCTATGGTCAGTTTCTGCCCAAAGTTGACCATAGATTTATACTGAAAGCTCTAGAAATTCCTGAAGAGAACACCTCTCGAAGAATCCCTAGGTCCTCCAGTAAGAGTCTGTGGTCAGCTTCCAACTGAACTTTCGGAGAAACTAGAGATTTCTAAAGAGGTGTTCTCTCTCAAGTAAAAATAGTGGAATTTTTATTCATGGTTTTCCACTTTCGCAGAGGTCCAGTACCCCTAAGCCCAGAGCATGTGAAGGGATAATTGTATGATTTTGGCAATTTTATTTTGGATTCCCTTTCTAATCACGTCTGATACAAAAGGTGCACAATAGGTTGACATTTTCTATACAATTACATTTGCAAAGCAAAAGATGATCTCCTTCATCAAAAAGCAAAATATTTTGGACTTAAAGACTGACAAATTTATTATGTTACTAATTTTCATGGACTATACTCCAATTCAGTGAATATATTCATAAAAGCTTTACCATAATAAAATTGTTAGTTTTTACCTACTACAAGGCTCTTTTGTTTGTTATAAGTTTCAAGCTTCTGCACTAAGCTGTGACATCCTTAACAAGTGAATTTGCATTCAGAGGTTGTGCTGAGTGTTGATTCTTGTAGTTCTGTCAAAACCATAACTTTCCTTTGTGTCCTTCTGAGTAACATTTTGGCATCATTCTTAGTCTGCCTCCAGATATGCCTCTAGGTTGACTTGTTGGATACACAGAAGCTGTTTGTTGAATGCTGGTAGAGCTGCTGTCTGCAAAGACATCATCAAGTGATAGCAGCCAACACCAAACTTATATTTGTTTTCTTTATAGCCTTAAGCTCAAATTCAGAGGTTAGCTATCCAGATAACAAATGCTTCAGTGTGCTTCAGAGTAGCAGTATCTAAACTGAAATCTGTCCAAACTGAACACCCTAGAGAAAAAGCTCATATGAGCAATGTATCACTATAGCCTTTCTTGTGTATAAAGCTAAAATGATAACAACGTCTTGGCTGGGAATGTAAGTCCTGTTGGAAGCTAAGCAGGGCATACCCTGTTTAGTACTTTGAAGGGAAACTGCCAACAAATACTATAGGCTATACTCCTTGTCTCATAAAACCCTATAAAATTCATGGGGTCACTATATGTCAACAGGCAACTTGAAGGCACACACACATGCACCACATACCCAAAAGGTTCAAAGGCCTTCTGAATGATTTATACAGCTATCATTATTCTTTAATGGATTATATTGTTTCAATAATTTTAATATTTGATGCATTTTAGGTTTTAATTGTGTAAACTGCCACAAAAAAGTTTTAAGTTTATATATCCACAGATATATAAACCTCACTTGGCTAGTTTCCAACAGACCCCACAACCTCTGAAGATGCCTGCCAAAGATGTGAGCAAAACATCAGGAAAGAATGCTTCTTCTTTTTTTGCAGTGAAATATTGCAGTGAAATATTGCAGTGAAATAGCAGGACAGAAGTATGTCCAGTTCAACACCATGTCCCACTTCTGTGTGTTGGCTTCCTAAAACTTCCTTCCCCTTCAACAGCCTTCTGTGCTGCCTAAAATAATAGTCCAAAGCTTGGAATGATCAGAGCTTCCAACAAGCATGGGTTTCCTTCTGTTTGCAGGATTAGAAGCAGGTCCATGAGAACAGTAGATATGAACTCTTGTATTTATTGAGAGCCAAGGGAGGTGTAATGGATAGATTGCTACACTAGGACTTAGAGTCATATGACTATAGAGTTGGAAGAGACCACAAGAGCCATCCAGTCCATGCCATGCAGGAACACAAAATCAAAGCATCCCCACTTGGGCTTAAAAACCTCTGTAAAAGGAGACTCCACCACTTGGGTGATCTAGGTTCACATCCCCAGCTGGCCCTATCTTTCTGCCCAATTCGTTTATCTCTTTTTCTAAAATGACTGTAAAGATAAAGCATTGTGAAATTATGAGTGCTGCCTAAACCTCCTTGGAGGAAAACTGGTGTATAAGTGAAATGTGAACATGTGAACTTTGGAATTTACTTGTGTGCACTCATGTGACCTCATGATTCAGTGAGATGCTTCAGCCAGGCTATTGATTGCTGACAGGAATGGGAAAACTTTGTCCCAGGTGGTTTGTATTTCAAAGCCCCAGCCAGTTGTCAGGAATTATAGGGGTTGGAATCCATATTGTCTAGAGCAGTGGTTCTCAACCTGTGGGTCTCCAGATGTTTTGACCTTCAACTCCCAGAAGTCCTAACAGCTGGTAAACTGTCTAGAATTTCTATGAGTTGTAGGCCAAAACACCTGGGGACCCACTGGTCTAGAGGACCAACATTAACCCAGTTGTATTTACTAGTTCTTTCCATTTCTGCACATTAGTTCATTCCAGGTAAAAGCTGTCCATGCATTTTGTTTTGTGTAGCCAAACTTATGTTACTAAAAACCTTGACCAAGATCCTTTATGGGACATGTACCTGCAGTGTTATAGCTACACTCTGTTTCCTATTTTGCCCTTCTCAAACCCATCATAAAAGGCAGGCAGCTGTACCAAGCAAAGCAGTTCTGTGGGAGTTGCAAACAGGACACTCAAGGAGAATGCATACAGCCCTCTCTTGCCAGTGAACCATGGTGTGGCAGACCAAAGCAAGGATCACTGCAGGATCCTTTGCAAATCCTTGTTAAATCCCTGTTCATTGGCAGAAGGGACTTGGATGCATCATCCTTCAGTGCCCTTCTTGCCTGCAGCACAGAACTCCTTCATTTGATACAGTTCCCTGACTTTTAAAACGAGGAGAACTAGAAGTATTAGCAGTCATGAAAATAGTGCCACAATCATAAATGTGGTGACAAAACACTGAGGAAGTCATAAATCTATTTTATGACATTTTAACTGCCTTACAGGACACCAGTTGTTGTTTAAACATGCAAAAAGACTAGTTCAACAATATTACCTGTTGCAGCAGCGTAAGTATAGCTGAGAGGCAATAGATCTACTGTTGGATTCCCCTCTAATTGTGTGCCATGATTTTTGTAAAGGCAATCTGAGCTACATGTTGTTTATCAGCCATATAATGATACTAGTTTCATCTCCAGTTTGGTAGAAAGGTACTCAAATGGTAATTAATGAGGTGTGTGTAGAAAGAGAACGTGCAAAATGTTACCTGCTAGTTAAAATTCTCAGCTTTATTTGTAAAACTTTTGCTTCAATAACACTGCAGGATTCTTGGTTGATGAACTTTTTGGTATTTACAGTTTTCTTGTGGTTTCTGTTCATGTGATAGGAGGAAATTGCTGAATCACCCTTTGCTTTGAATTCTCGGCACTGTATTTAAAAAGAGAGGGGGGAAAGGAGGAAGGAAGGAAGAAACATGCCACCTTGTTGGCTGCAAATGAGCTGGAAAGATTTCCCTGCCCCATTCCAATTTTTATTTTTCTCTTTTCTTTTGTTTCTCTAGATCACAAAGTGCAAACAAGAAGGTTCTTCTCTGGCATTTTCGATGCCGCAACCAAGGCTCTCAGATGGAATTCCCCGGGTTAGCATCCATTTAACAGACAGTTCGTGTCCAGAGGAGATGGATTTAGCAGATGAACTCTCCTTCATGAGCAGCACTGCATTCTTCACCAGGTAGGTGTTGCCTCTTCTTCCATCTCATGCAATATGTAGCATTAGAACTATATTTAGTGATTTTTGCAGGCACACAAAGATCTGCAGCATTGCAGCAGAGCCTGTGAGCCCTGCAAGAAATGTTAAGTGTTGAGCAGCCAGCTGCACCCACATTGAAGTATTTCCTCTGTTTATCATTGATATTGAAAAGGATGTTTGGCTTAAATGCATGTTTAGGACTCTGGAATGCTAGCAGCAGGCTGAAAGAAATATGCTCTCGGATGTCAGTGATTTAAGATGGCTTTCATCCAAGTTAATGGTCTTAGCATGGTAGAATAGTCCCATGCACTCTGAAACCATTTGTACAACAAATTAAATTTTGTGTCCCTTCAGATAAAAGGCAATTCTTTTGAGTGCTTCCATTTGTCAGGAAGCAAGCGGTGATGATTCTCTCTCTTAGCTGGGCTTCTCGTGAAGTGTAATAGGGTTGGCGCTTGCTTTTATCTTGTTTTTATTATAGTGCTTCTAATGCAAGGTTGAAAATATCGATCAATTCCTATTTGGCTGCTTGCACCGCAATAACATAAACACCTGAAAATGCATAGTTTAGTCACTGTGTCCAACTACCCTATGAAACTAGTCATGAGAAAAGCTGTGTTCCTTGTCTAAAAGGTATAGTATTTCAGGAGTGGCAAATAGAAGGGAAATAGATGCAGCAAGATAGAGATAAATAGGCAGGGAAGACCCTCAGTTGGAATGCTACTCAGATAAGGATCTGATGGATGCATTTAGCGATTCCAAGTCAGCAAGAGGCCGTTTGGAGTTGAAGCAGAAGTCAGAATTTCTTTGCCTCACAATCTACTTGGTGGACTTGACAGACTCATCTTAAATGTAGTATCACCTTCTGGACTAGAGGATTGCTAGTTCAAGTCCCAATAACCTTCAAATTATGACTGACCCTGGCAGATAGTACACTGACGCATACTGGAATCCAACCAACTAATGAATTGAAATGACTATATGCTCCCCTGGTTGGGCAAATAGTGAATCAGGGAGCTGTGATATTTGTTGTGTTTGTCCTCACGGTTTTTAGAGATTTCCAAATGATAGTTCTAGGATCCCTTACTACTTTCTGACAATTCCTGGCATCAGCTTCAACGTTTTATTCCCGCCATTTAATGGGCTTTCCTTTTGATTCCTAAACATACCAGATCAAAAAAGTGTTCTTCTTTAATCATTTTTAAAATTGTTATACTGAACCCATGGATCATTGAAATAGCACTTTTGCACTTGCAAACTATACGTTTAAGAAAAAAAATCAAACAAAGAAAATCTTTTCTTTGCACCTTAAAGTTACCTCAACAAATCAAAACTTTGATTTTTTAAAAAAAAAATCTCCAAAAAAAATCTCCAAGAATTCACTATAATCTGCTCCAATACTAATGAAACATGTGAATAGGTGTAAGACAACAACCATCAAAAATCTTGCAAAATTCAAGAAAATATTTTGCAATAACTCAAAAATATAGATCTGTCTGGAAGAGCTTTAATACAGAGTAAATAGGGACTAAATGATAGGAAAAAGCAGGAGGTAATTTGTTTTGCCATAAAGGTGAACAAATTTAACCATAATCCAGTCAAGGTAGAGGTGCTCCTGGACAGTTGAAGAGTGGAGAATAGGAATGCAGCCTGTGTTCAGAGGGATTACATTTCCATTAAAAATGCAGGTGTGCAGCCTGTGTATATTCTGGGACTCAACCATGACCACAGAGGCCCAGGTTTCAGTGGTGGCCAAGAATACATTAATACAATGTTCACCAGCTGTACCATTCCTTGAGATATCAAATCCAGCCATGGTAACATGGGCCTTTATTACATTCCATGTGATTTGTTGTAATGCATTATGTGTGGGGATGCTTTTGAAAAGTGTTTAGAAACTTCAGGAGATCCAAAGAGCTGCAGCCAGAGTGTAACTGATGCTAGCATCAGGAATACACATCGTCCTCCTTGTTCCATTGGCTGCCAGTCGATTTCAAGGCACAATTCAAGGTGCGGGTTGTGATCTACGAAGTTCTGTATGACTCAGATCTAGGTTATCTAAAGGACTGTATCACCCTGTATGATATTTTCTGGGAAACTGTTATCTCTGTCCCACCAATATTCCATGGATGAGAATCTTCTCAATGACTGCTCTCAAACTCTGTAACCCCCACGCTGAAGAACTTAGACAGGTACTCTCTTTACTCTCCTTTCATATGAAAGTGAAGATCAGTTTGTTTTCATAGAATCATAGAATCATAGAGTTGGAAGAGATTTCATGGTCCATCCAGTCTAACCCCCTGCCAAAAAGCAGGAATATTGCATTCAAAGCACCCCTGACAGATGGCCATCCAGCATCTGTTTAAAAGCTTCCAAAGAAGGACCCTCCACCACACTCCGGGGCGGAGAGTTCCACTGCTGAATGGTTCTCACAGGAAGCTCTTCCTCATGTTCAGATGGAATCTCCTTTCTTGTAGTTTGAAGCCATTGTTCCGTGTCCTAGTCTCCAGGGAAGCAGAAAACAAGCTTGCTCCCTCCTCCCTGTGACTTCCTCTCACATATTTATACATGGCTATCATATCTCCTCTCAGCCTTCTCTTCTTCAGGCTAAACATGCCCAGCTCCTTAAGCCGCTCCTCATAGGGCTTGTTCTCCAGACTCTTGATCATTTTAGTCGCCCTCCTCTGGACACATTCCAGCTTGTCAATATCTCTCTTCAAATGTGGTGCCCAGAATTGGACAACTTCGGTAAGCCTTTGAGGGCCAGTGACTAGGGCGAAAGGGTTTTTTCATATGCTATGCTGCTTATATTTGGTGTTTTTCTTTTAAATTAATTTCTTTTAATTTCTTTCAGTATTATTGCTAGTTAAAATATATTCTTAACTATGTAAGTTTTAGCTGCATATCTTTTAAATTTTGTTCAGCCACTTGAGTGTTAGACTGGGGAAAATAAATAAATAAACATAGCAACAATTTTACTATTTAAAAATCTGTTTTGCAATAACGTTTTAACATTTGTGTCACTTTAAACATTTTTTTAGGAATAGACCAGAAGCTCCTTCCATTTTTCTTTGATCTCCGTACTTCTAAGAAAAGTGTATAATTTGTGAATCTTGGAAGGCCTAAAATGTCTGTCTCTTTGTGATATGTCTGGCATAACACTCCTTCTGTTCTACATCTTAGTTCTGTAGTCCTAAACTCTGGTATGGAGCACTGCAACAAAGCCATTGACTGCTGCCAAGGTTCAGCACCATGAGCTGCAGCCTAGCTGGACAGCTCCCTGTTTTTTCTTCTTCTTAATAGGCTTTGCATATGTATGCTTCCAAATGAGGATTTATACCTCTGTTGACTAATGATTTTTTTTTGTTAAAACAGGTCACATGTCACATATCTTCTGGGTCTTTAGCGTTGCCTTTCTTTTGTTCCTCCCCCTTTAATTCCCAAGGCACCTCCTAAGCATGTAACCTCCAATTCCAGTTCCCAGTGGTATCTTGGAAACATCTGATCTTGGCAATAGAAAATCCAAAGAGAAGGTGGCGGCAGCACTGTGTGTTTGTGTGTAACATCTTCCAGCCATTGCTGATCAATGTTCAGAACCAGCACTAGAATTAGGCAGGGGGAGGTGGCTACCTTAGGCAGTCGATTTTGTCCATTATGCCAAGATAGGAAAATCTTGGTTGATTACATTTTTGTTTTTGATTTCCCTCTGTTAGAACAAAGTGTTTGTGAGATCTTCAAGCTCATGTACCAAAATAATTAAGCAGGCTTCAGATATTAAGAGATTTGACTTGAATGGATGAGGAGGTGCCGTTTGCTGCTGTGCCTAAGTCAGCAAAATGTCTTAGAGGTTTCCTTCCATGGTTTTCCAAAGGCTTTGGATCATATTGACTGAAATTTGTTACATATTGGTAAGAAATAACTTTTGGGTTGTTGTAGTTTTTTCGGGCTGTATGGCCATGTTCTAGAAGCATTCTCTCCTGACGTTTCGCCTGCATCTGTGGCAGGCATCCTCAGAGGTTGTGAAGTCAGACCTCACAACCTCTGGGGATGCCTGCTATAGATGCAGGTGAAACATCAGAAGATAATGTTTCTGGAACATGGCCATACAGCCTGAAAAAACTACAACAACCCAGTGATTCTGGCCATGAATGCCTTCAACAATACGAAAATAAATTTTGTTCATCTCACTCTTTCCACATGAAAAAGGATATCATAATTTCAAATCAGATATGGTAGCTATCTTGAAGGTTGAGTGACACTGACTGTGTCATCCACAACTATTTCACACCAATTTTGAGGTCAGAGTTACAGAATAATAGAGTTGGAAGAGACCACATGGGCCATCTAGTCCAGCTCCTACCATGCATCAAAGGCACAAACAAAGCACCCCGGATAGATAGCCATCCAGCCTCTGTTTAAAAGCCCCCAAGGAAGTGGCTTCTACCACACTTTGTGGCAGAAAGTTCAACTGCTGGACAACTCTCACAATCAGGAAGTTTTTCCTAATGTTCAGGTGGAATCTCCTTTCCTGTAATTTGAACTCTTTACTCCAAGTCCTACTCTCCAGGAGCAATGGAACATAGTTGATGTGACTAATTTGTTACTGGCAAATTTTTTGGATTGGATCTCTCTGTACATAGCTTTGCAGATCCCCAAAAAAATATACACCATCTGCCACCAGTGCAACATATAAAGCCTTTCCAGTTTGGTAGAACTTGCCAAAATAGGTTTAACCTTCGAGAATCCAGGGGAGCCTCTTTGGCATGATGAACCAGCAGTTTAGTACTTTGTGGAGGAATCTGCACACCAGGTAACCTTAGATATATTCAGACACTGTTGAAGGAACAAAGTTGATTGCATCTTATTAGGCCAAGGTTTCTTCATTCCTCATCTAGCAGAGATAGAAATTTTTTGCAGGTTTACACATTATCCAAAAAGCATTGCTAAAAAGCAACAACTAAAACAAACACCAGATTTAATAG